AGGCCTGCAGCTCTTGCCCCATCTGTAACTTTCCAGCAACAGGTTACTTTATAAATAAAAAAAAAAAAAAAATAAAAAATAAAAAAAAAAGGTAAAATTTGGCATTGAAACAGGAAATATGTGAACCTGTCACAGTAAGCAGTCTCAAAGGGCAAGCTGCTTTGCAGGAGCTAATTAACCTTAGGAAATAATTACACAAATATGCAAATGTTGTTTAGATAATTCCATGTGTTATCAACTCAGGTAGTCCATCATAACTGCAGACCTTGCAATGTCTAGATGTTGGAATCTGGAATAGTTGATAAGGCTTTGGTTGCTGCATCACTTCAGCTTGGTATTTAACAATTAATGACTGTGATATTACATTAGTAAATTCAACCTGTTTTTTGAATGCGACAGAACATAACACCGTATTCACTGTGTGCACGCTGCTTATCTGTGTATTCCTAATGGCTGCAGCCAGTAAAATGTTACATACCTTTCAACTCTTAGCACTAGAAGTACTGGGAAAAATGACAGACCAAAACCTGTGGTCTCTTCCTCCACTTTTTTGCACAATGGACGTCCCAAGAATTTACCCACAGTCATTTTGGGGTTTCAGGGACTTAAAAACTGTTAGAGAGAGAATTTTAAATCTGCAAACTGGTTTTCTCAAAGCAAAATGTTTTTTTGAAACAAGACAAGGAGCAGCATTTTATACAAATGTGTTCCTGTTAGCATTGCATAGACCCTAAAACAATGTAGTCATGGGCTGCCGTTCTTGGTGTAAGGTCTCCCCAAAACTGAGCCCAGCTGGTCTAGGCCTGAGCAGCCCAGGACGTCCCTAACCCTTGCCAGGACTTGAGCTGGGGCCGAGCAGATCGGTGACCGGCAACCACTTCCATACCACAGGCTGCTGCTTCAAGCAGCTGTAGCAGAGTTTCTGGCCCTGAGACAGTAAATGGCTTCCCGTGTACAAGAAACACTAATTTATTAATCGTTGTCATGATTTTCATAGACTGTACTGTTAGACTATTTGATTAAACTTCTGGTAATAAGATGAAAAGTTCCATATTAACCATTTATGGTCATTTTTTGAGCAATCACTATTTTGGTTTAAAAAGTGAGGCATTTTTTATACATAGTTAAGAGATAGTGTTTAAAAAATACGGAGGGGGGAGAAGTAGAAACCAACAAAAACGACAAAAAGCCTTTTATCACTAGAAAAAGGAATCTGTTCTTAAACCAGTATTTGTGAATACTCATCTCTTCCACCTGAAATAAATATTCATTCTATTTGCAAAGGCTTGATGGTCATTTCTTATTCAAAAGGATTACGTCCATGTGGCAAGAGCGTCTTGATTAGCCCCATGCACCTGTCATTAATCAGAATCTAATATCTGTCTACTTATATACTATATTATTTTTATGGATGCCCCTTTTATAGCAGGTTCCAGAAATGCGCGCCTCCTCTAACATTCAGGAAGAGGAATGAATATAACATCAGCAATCTAAAATTCCTCGGCAATACTTGTGTTAAATGATTTTAACCACCTTTATCTCCAAGGCAATCATCAGTGGGATTTGCTGCATACAAGTATGACAGGCGTTCAATATCTGATACTCTCTGTAGCATTGGTAGTCACTGATGGCAATTGAGGTATATTTGCTCTATTTTTATCAGTGAAAAAAACTAAAATGCGATAGTTATTAGGGAAAAGACATGGACATCTTTTCATTTACTAGTGAACTAAAGGGTAAATCCTACTGATAGTGTTCCGTTAGAAGTGGAAGCACGTAAGATTTTGCGTGATGGGAGCAGAGGTGAAGGTTGAACCTTCCGTGCTCAGAGCGTCTGCTCCGTTCCTTGCCCGAGCACCACGGATCTGGGGTGCAGGACTCTGCTCAGGAGGTTCCTCATCTGCAGCACTCAGATAATTGCCTGGTTTGGGGTTACTCTGCATTGGTTAAGCATCACACAGAGGCCCTTTCATCATTCTTAAAATTTTTTTTTCTTCTAATTCTATGTATTGCGGGGAGGAAGTGGGGGGAAGGTTTTCAGTGGGACAGAGGCCCACAGCTATGACTTCCACACCTCCGAAGAATCAGACCACTTATTTATACACAGAATTATTGGTTACAAATGACCAACTTTCAGCAGCTGGAAATTTAAGTTCAGCTTTCCCAGCACTTCTCCATTTCAGTCTGTTTCACAGATGAGAACGCGTTCAGCCTCGGCTGCCTTCTGAGGTACATGGCGTGATTTCTCCGTTCCTTTCTGTACGGTCATATAGATAATTACGTAAAGCACGGCCAAGAGGCCCCCACTTTATCAGGTAATTTAACAAGGTGGTATATAAGTGCGTTCTGTTTAGCTGCAGCGAAAAGAAGGAGAGCAGCCGTCGCCTGAAACTGTCACCTTTCATACTGAAATCACAGCATCCAGCCTCACAATTTAACCCGTGGCAGGCAGACCCATGCAGCCCCATCCAGAATCCCGAGGAGCCGGCGGTGCCGGCGGTGCCGCTCCCGCAGCCAGAGGTTCCTCGTGCAGACACGGCGCCCGTTTATCCTCCGTCCGAGTTGTTTAAAACAGGGGCTTGTTACGAGGGGGGACAGTAAGCAGGTGCTCCGAAGAAAGAGCTTTTCTTCTAAACATACACGACTCCTCCGAACTCCTTCTCGCACATACGTGCTTTTCTTACCTTGTTTAGGGTTTAGCAGAGTAGCAACGCAGTTTATCCTGACGTTTTGTGGCTTTTTTTCACCAGTAACAAAGGAAAATCTAGTTGCAGTCTGTATTTAACTCGGGTTTTTTTTCTTTTATAAAATCCTATAGGGTCTTTGTACTGGACTGTGAAGCTGTGCAGTTAATGATTTGGTTTACTAGACCACTGGTTATGCTTTAATTGGTGGAAGCTTTTCTGGGCTGGGTTTCTGAATTGTTCAGAAGCTTCTTGCTGCTCTCTTAGTCTTGTGGAAACCCAAAAACTGTGCGCTTTCCCCATCAGCATGTAGAATAATAAATACAGAATACCTGAAAATGCACTATTAACCAGAAAAAAACACTTCCTTTTTGTCGGAATGTTAAAGCAAAAAAATGTACAAAAATTGCTGTTAAGAGAATTAGTGGTAATGCTTTTATTTAAAAACAAGTATTTCCTGCATATTTAACTGAAATAAGTCTTTTGGATAAACTAGTCATTTAAAAACTCTCCCAGTGTTTTAATGTGCTTTTTCCATACATACCATAATTAGACTACATCACTTTTCCATAGGAAACTCCAGCTGAGGTTGTCCTTCAGCTTTATCTTAATAACTGGTCTGTCAATCATATTTTCTTTATGAAATTTCTTTTGAAAAACTTCCCTCTTTTCTTCACAAAGGGAGGAGTCTTTACCTCCTTTACCTATCTCTACAATAAGATTTCAAAACAGGGTTGAAAGAAAATAAGCCCTTTCTTATGCTGAGGTGGTTTACAATAGTTGATACATAATTAGTTAAAACTATGTTCTGTCATATTCAATCAAGAGCAGAATCTGTCCAGGATTAAGGAGAATACTTCAGAGCACTTCAGTGCTTTTTGGCAAATTTGATAAATATGTTTTAATCGCTGCTACCTTAGAGAAAAAAAAAAAATTTAAAAGCACATAATTGTTTTAAAAGCTTTGGGTCCAGATCCATAAAGATTTGTAGCCGTCTCACTCTTATTTCAGAAGCTGGGCATGAGAATATAAGTAAAAGCCTAAATCCACATTATTTAGTTGTCTGTCTTCCCATTGATTTTAGATACTCAGAAGATCTTAAATTCCCAAAACTGAGTTGCAGAATGGGACTAAGACCTAAATCATTTCAATGTTCTTGGTAAAGTTACAGTAATTCACACTGTGTAATTAGCATCTTCTGATTGCCAGTGGCTTTTGCTGGTTTGTGCTTTATTTTCCTCAAGGAAATAAGGGTTTTGTGGTCTGTGTCAGAGTCTCCTAGGGGTATGATGTTGTTGCTGGAGCAGAGCAAAGGGGAAAGGGATGCCAATTTTAGGAAATGACATGACCTTGACTGATCAATTCTTTCTGGCACAAAGGAGCCTGGAAAGCACCTGCAGTGTTGTGCTAGAGGTGTGAAATCCTGGTGGGGCAGGGGACCTAGCAAAGCATCTTACTCTTGTCACCTGAGACCAGACAGATTTGTAGTTACGACACAGCCTGAGAAATAAGTAAAATATAGAGGGGTACAGGGCTTTCCGAGAGCCCCTTAGGTAGAGGTGGGAGTGCACAACCCAATGGTTGAGGAGAGTGCACTAAAATCAGTGTAAATCACTCCAGTGTCTTCAGTCACGCTTACAATGATTGGCATTCACAAGTTCTTGTTCAATAATAAGAAAGAGCACTCCCCTACCTACCAGAAACTCCAAAGTCATGGCTGATGTGTACGCAGTCAAGAGGTGTTTTATCTGCACTGTATCTGGTAGTCTGCAGTTGCAAAAAAATAGCATTTAAAAGAGTAGTCACAATTACTGTAATTTTAATCTTTGGCAGATTTCCATTGGCCCATAATATGAAAAAATTGTAAAGATCGAAATTATATTTATATTGTTCCTACTTGTTTTTGTTTATTTTATCAGACTAAGGCTTAACTACTTCAAACAAACCATCAGTGAACAAACATTTGACAAAGAGTTGTCAAAAGAATGAAAATCAGAGCAGTGGCTCATAATTTCTTTGAATGCCTCTGTTTAGCTGAATTGCCATCATGGTATTTAGACAAAATTTTGCAGATGCATAATTTTTGTTGTATTTATTAAAATAAGCTGCAATAAAGCAACAGTTTTACTGCCTTTAGATTGCAATCTTAACTTTCTCTTTATTTAGTCAAATGAATCCGTTCTTTTTTTGACAGTAGAGTATATTCATTTGAGGTTTGTTTTAACAAAACATTTTAACATATAGGAACACGTTGCTTTTAGACAGAATTGCCAGTTTTTAAGAGGTAATTGTCACAAATGTAATTTCTTTCTGCAGGATAATGGATCTCCCGAAGAACATGCAATTTATGTTTGGGACCATTTTATTTCCCAGTCAGCTGCAGAGAACGTGTTTTTTGTTGCTCACAGTTATGGTGGACTTGCATTTGTAGAGTTGGTAAGTGTGGCTTCTCCATTGCCTTCTTTCGTGAAGTCCTTCACAGTTTTTCTAAATTCTGTGTGATCACCTCCTTGAAAGCAGCCATTTATGAACAATTTTGAACCGATGGTCAGATACAGGTCTGTGAGGATTTCTTTGCAACTGGAAGGTCACTGCATTTTTCTCTGTTTTCTCTGTTAGTCAGTAAGGTCCCAGGTGTGCACGAACCTGAGAGACTGGGAAAACAGAACGCATTGGATCTTCCTTTTCCAGGCTGTGTACCGAAAGGCAGCACTCAGTGAGTTTCTACTCTGGGGCAGAAAGACTGGAGGCGAAGACTGAGAACATACAAGAACAGTTTTAAAGCAAAGTCACATTAACAAATACACCTTCTCGTGTATAGATTGGAACTGAACATGAGGAAAAATACGGAGGTTTTACCCGATTTTGTAGATTTTCCACACGTCTGCCGAAGTTGCAGGGAAGACTTTTTTGCCATTTATTAGGCTCTGGATAAACTCTGCAGTGATGTAGCATGTGGAGGACTCTGCTCAGTGCAAAGCTGCCCTACCCTTGACGCTGGGTCTGCTGAACATCCAGTATGTCAGTCTTTCACCCTTTCCTCCAAAGGCAAATTTGTTGACCCCATCTGGTATACGAAGTTCCCTGTTGAACTCGTATACCACTCCTTTAGTGTAGCTATAGCCTCTTCACTTAATCATGAAATGCTGGTGTAATCAGGACATGTTTTATTGAAGAAAATGTTAAAAAAAAAAAAGTCCTGATCATTGTGGAAATGTAAATTGCAGAACATTAGAATTGCTTTTATACACAGGAATCAGCAGACCTGTATGTACATCTTCTGTCTATAATGCATTAGTTTAGTCTAACTGAAAGTTAGGACAAGTGGTTCCTGCCTCAACGTAAGATGAATGCCCTGGTTAAGAAAAAACATGCATGAGTGTTTTGTTTTTAATCTTGTGCTGCTCTAAGTAGCAAGAAGAATCCAGAGCAGGACCACTCGTATTATTTTAAGAACTTAAGATTTTTGTTTACCTTCTTCATTTGTAGAAATTAAGGCCATTTTGATTTTCCCTTTGCTTCTGGCTGAGTATTTTTAAAATACGGATGATATGTACTGATAAAAGACTTGAGAACAGTTCAGCTGATTGTTTTCCACAGGTACTTTATTGCCAGGTCAATAAATACTCTCAAAACTAAATTTTTAAGAGACCAAATTAGCAAAGATGAATGTTTTCTTATACAGCAACAACTTTGGTCAAAAAACAGGTTGCGTGGCGTGTGCCGGTTGCTCCTCAGATGCAGTGAAGGGTAGGGAGCATCTCTTCTGTCTTGGCTTTCCTGAGCTGTGATTTTCAGCTTCCCTGTGTTTCGGCCCAGGTTATTCCGGTGTGCCTCGTCTGTCCAAAGTGAAGCATGAGCAGAATTTCTGTAGGTTTTGTAAAGCCACACTGTTTGGGTCACTGGTCGCCTACTGATACATGCACTTAGCACGGGGCGGGAATAAAAATCGACTGGGGACCTTTCTCAGTGTTTCCCAAACAAAGTGCTTATTCGAAGTAGGCTTGGAGAGTTTTTCCATCACATTTCAGTCAATGGCTTGAGGTGGCATGGGTAACAGATGACCAACGTGTCATTCCCATTTTGCCTGTTTCTCTTGTCACACTGGTGGATATTTCTTCACTTTTGTTCTACTTTAATATGAAGCACACAGATGTTTCAGAACAAGACTTGACTTCTGACCTTGGGGCTTCCAGGGTCAGGGTGCTCAGGGCCTGTGAAATTATCACAAGCTGAGCTAAAGTTTTTATCCATCGCAGGAAGCAACCAGTAAGTAAGAAGTTAAAAAGGAGCTTTGTCAGAGAGACAAGATGGTCTCAGTAAGGGTCAGCTTCTGTAGTCTGCTGTCTCTGCAGGAGATGCATGCCTGAGAGGAAGAATATAATATATAACCATTGGCACATCGCATATCTGTCATGCAAAACTAGACCTGAGAAGTATATTTAATGTAGCCTGATTGTTTTCTAAAAAATCAAAGGATATTAAGACTTGGGTTTGGTAGAGGTGGTTTGATATCTGAGCTCCACTGAAAGCAGTTTAATTAAATAATGCATACACTGAAGCAGATATCATTGAAATAAAGCCTGAACCATTTTATCACAATATTAATTTGTAAGATTTTATTTTGTTGTGATCTCCTTTCTCTTCAACTTTATATCCATATGGCACTTAGTAATTGCAAAGAGCTCAGAAAAAAAAAGAAACGGAGCAGCTGATGGGCAATTACTGTCTCATGACAAATACATATTCGATCACTTCAGTTTCTTTCTTGCTTTGTGTGGGGGAGATGATGAGGGTGATAGAGCAGCTACACCATATAGCAACTGTACCACTTTTACACTTGCTATGCAAGAATTTTGGGTCAACTGCTTCATAAAATTGTAGGTTACAGTAGTTATGGAGACCTGTTGCACAGCTGCTCCTTCTCTATCCGTGCCCCTTACAGGAGAGCAACATGAAGCATATGGCTTTAATTTGGAGTGAAGGTTTCTGCCTGGGCCCTCTGCCTTTTACTGTGCCCGCAGGGAAAATGAAAACAAGCAAAAAAAAAGTCTAAAAACATTTGCGTTTTCAGTGGGTATCTTTGAAATTCACTTTGCATGTTCGGTGCTGCGAGGTCTGTCCCGATGGCTTGCGACCGTCTCAGTCACAGCGACCTCGAGCTCACCAAGGCTCTCGGCAAAAACCCGAGGCTCTGGCATTAAGCAGAGAAACCCAGCAGAACCTGGTACTGAGCGCAGACTTGTTTGTGGCTGTTCACACCGTCGCGTGGGAAGGGCGTTCGGCCATGCCAGGGCAGGACCCATCCCGGTGCCCCGTTGTTTGCAGCTGCAAGAGGAGCTGGCATGGGAAAAGCAGCTTGCTCTGCCTCGTCCCTGTGCTCTGCAGGTTCCTGCAGCCCGGGGGTGGGACGCGGGCATCCGTTTTGGTAAAGCGAAAGGAGAGCAAATGCAACCGCCACCTCTGAAACTGGTATAAAAGGAGGAGCGTTTTTATTTGCAAACCTTTGGTGGCCAAGCCGGGTCTCGATTCCAAGCTTCATCTCACCATAAAAATCCGGCTATGGTTTGGAAGCCCTTCATTAAACGAACCAGTAAAACTTGGCTGCAATTTTCAAATACATGCCACAGCAGCTAACATTTTTATTGGTCTTTGCAGCTTTTTAAGCCACATTTTTGCATGTCTGTGATTGCGAGATGTTAAGAAAAGCAGGGTGACTCTGTAATATCATGCTTGAGTGCACAGAAACTGTTAACCAGTTACTGCAACGCAGGCACACAATTTCTGTACCTTGCTGGGTCACAGATTACTAGGGGAATAATTGAAAGTGATTGAACATGTGTGGGAAGTAAAGTTCCACCAATAAATGTAATTAGTTGTATTGTTTATAGCTTGGATTACAAATGCTAATCATAAACCATATGCTAAAATGTATCTTAATATTTAGTAATTAAAACTTTGTGTAATTGTGGTTTGAAATTAAATGTGCATCTAATAATATCTACACGTAAATTACTTTTTGAATACACAGCACTAAAAATAGTTGTTGGGTCACTGTGTTCTGCTAATTACTGATTTTGAAAAACTCAAGCCATGATTCATGAACACATCGCAGCTTCTTACTTCTGTTATCCCTTACACGGTGTAGTCGGGGATTTATTTTCAGAAGCAGCTTGCTGTGGTTGATGGTAAATTGTGGAACTTTCCCAGCTCCTAGCTTATAATAATTTTATGAAATTTAACAGAAAGTGAGAATTTCAAGTTGATGGAGTCAACTTTATATTTAGTTTACAGAAAATAAGTTTCTGGTACAACGCCTCCTGTGAGATTTTCTGCCAAATTTTGTGGGTTTACAATTATTTTGCTTTAAAAAGAATGTTTTCCCTTGTCATTGCCTGCATAAAAGACCTGCACAGGAGAAAAATTATATTGTGCCCCTGTGCCTACCTGCGTGTTGTGGTCATCCCCTGCAGCTCTAATTACAGCATCAGGGCCTGGCTGCTTGTAGAGGGGACAGACAGGGTGGTCCTAAGATGCTGGGTGACATGTAAAAGTAGCTGTGTCCATCATTGTAAAAAACACATGACAACTACTCATTTCGGAATCACAAGAAGAATTGTTAAATCTAGGCTTTCAAAATTGTAAATTAGGTATTCAGTATCCTGAGTTAAAAAAAAAAAAAAAAAATTAGGGGAAGATTTCTCCTGTTTGCCTACTGTATTCCTGAGACCATAGGTTTTGCATTTTCGAGGGGTTTCTTGGCACTTTATCAACCAGAAGTGTAGCTTTTTTTGTTTTAATTTTAGTTAAATAATACCTTTAAGAAAAAAAAAAAAAAAAAACACCAAATATTATGGGATTGGTGCCAAAATTATGAGAATCAGTAGTGGTATCTCCAGTTTACAGCATTCGCACTCCTGTAAAAATACAAACTGCACAGGGGAATGTAATATAGTTAAATTAGGAGAAAGAAAGCAGGTTCATTGTCTTTGAGCAGATGAGAAACTATTCATTATGGTCTTTGTTGGCTAAAATATTGGATGTATATATTGACACTTTGCACAAAGGTGCAGATAAAAGTGTGTGTGTGTATTTTTAGGCAGCTTTGTTAAAAGGAGAGCCCTTAAAACACACTGTTCAAATTACTGTATCCACTCTAGCGTCCTAATTCCATCAAAATCAGCCAATTTTGTCCATTTGCAATAATTCTAGGTCCGTCATTCTGAGATACGCTCTGCAATATGCTGCCACTTCATTTTGTTGTATTGTGCTGAGTGCGGCGAGGACCTGACCCTGGCTAGAGCTGATAGGTGCCATAATAATAGCAATGATAAACGGACACCTGCTGAGCTACCTGGGAGTCTCCGAGGCTGCATCAGTATTCTGGCACAGGCAGAACGCAATTTAAGAGCCTTAATGACTGGGCTGTGAACCTG